AGGAAACGGAAGTCGTGCCTCCCAAGTGCAAAAATAATAAAACAATAAAGATCGCGTTTTAAAAAGGGAATTTTAATCCAGAATATGACTAACTGTTACTAAGACGCCCAATAATAATAAAATACAGAGTTTCAGAGGCAGTGAAGCTAACTGATCGAACTTGGCAGTTATCTGCTTGTTAAGTCGCAACTTTTCTAAACTGTGTGTTTCAGGTGTGTACAGTCTATGGTTTCAGGTGTGTACAGTCTATGGTTTCAGGTGTGTACACTCTATGGTTTCAGGTGTGTACAGTCTATGGTTTCAGGTGTGTACACTCTATGGTTTCAGGTGTGTACAGTCTATGGTTTCAGGTGTGTACAGTCTATGGTTTCAGGCTGTGTACAGTCTATTGTTTCAGGTGTGTACAGTCTATGGTTTCAGGTGTGTACAGTCTATGTTTCAGGTGTGTACAGTCTATGGTTTCAGCTGTGTACAGTCTATTGTTTCAGGTGTGTACAGTCTATGGTTTCAGGTGTGTACAGTCTATTGTTTCAGGTGTGTACAGTCTATGGTTTCAGGTGTGTACAGTCTATGGTTTCAGGTGTGTACACTCTATGGTTTCAGGTGTGTACAGTCTATGGTTTCAGGTGTGTACAGTCTATGGTTTCAGGCTGTGTACAGTCTATGGTTTCAGGTGTGTACAGTCTATGGTTTCAGGTGTGTACAGTCTATTGTTTCAGGTGTGTACAGTCTATGGTTTCAGGTGTGTACAGTCTATGGTTTCAGGTGTGTACAGTCTATTGTTTCAGGTGTGTACAGTCTATGGTTTCAGCTGTGTACAGTCTATTGTTTCAGGTGTGTACAGTCTATGTTTCAGGTGTGTACAGTCTATTGTTTCAGGTGTGTACAGTCTATGGTTTCAGGTGTGTACAGTCTATTGTTTCAGGTGTGTACAGTCTATGGTTTCAGGTGTGTACAGTCTATTGTTTCAGGTGTGTACAGTCTATGGTTTCAGGCTGTGTACAGTCTATGGTTTCAGGTGTGTACAGTCTATGGTTTCAGGTGTGTACAGTCTATGGTGTACAGTCTATGGTTTCAGGTGTGTACAGTCTATGGTGTACAGTCTATTGTTTCAGGTGTGTACAGTCTATGGTTTCAGGTGTGTACAGTCTATGTGTACAGTCTATTGTTTCAGGTGTGTACAGTCTATGTTTCAGTTGTGTACAGTTTATAGTTTCAGGTGTGTACAGTCTATGGTTTCAGGTGTGTACAGTCTATGGTTTCAGGCTGTGTACAGTCTATGGTTTCAGGCTTTACTGTCATGGCACCAAAAAACAAAAAGAAGCTGTAAAACACAAAATTAAATGTTTAGCAGAAATATTTTGACTCGTGGCTGCAGTTATCTTTTATTATCATTTTGTTTAATTTTTTCTAATTTTTGTTTAACTTTCCCTGCCGATGTCTATGGAAAGTAAGTGAGTGTAGAAAATGAATAAAGTTATTATGAATGTGCTCTTATGTAGAACCAGCGCTGTAGCTTCTGACCCATATGAGCGTCTGCAGTCACATTAAGACAACAACAGGAAGTGGAGTTCGAGGACAGGAGGGGTTTGGCGTCGGAGGAGCAGAGATGTACGTTTGCTAACGAGGCATTGACCTAAAAATAAAAAACTGTCACGCAAGCCTGGTCTCACTTCTGAGGTCACATGGTGTTTCTCTTACCTCGAAATAAAGACCCGCTTCATTATTTAATAACAGAATGAATTATACATGTAAATCTTCTTGTTCCTATTCTGTGTCGAACATCGTCGCTCATGACAATAACTCACTCTCTCTTTTTTTTTTACTCTCTTGACGTTTCACATCTGCACTCCAGATAATATCTAGATAACTTCAGGAGGACTGCTCCGGAGATTCTCCTGACCTGGATGTTCACACATGCACCTTACAGCGGGAGACTATCCTTAAGAAACGGGAGGGGGGGGGGGGCGGGGTCTCCTGAGGCAAGACGTTACTTAAAAAAACAACGCTGAAGTAGCGGACAAAGCAACAGAGTCCACTATACGACGCTATAATGAGAATATTTGCATATCATTGCTACGTGTAGTTCATCAGAATGACAATATATAATATAACTTCATGTCCTAACCTGATATCGGGCTCTTCAGTTAGCAGATATGACATCATATTCATCACATTACACATTCATTTAGACTGATATATTTATTTTTTCATAAACATATTGCATTAAAAAAAATCTTCTTCATACATGTACAAGTTTTCATAAAAAAAATCTGGTAGAAAAAATATTTCATTTGGATGTTTTTAGGACCAAACAACATGATGAAAGCACAGATATATATCTTTATATGGACTCATATCGTTATAAAAGAACAAACAGCATGGAGATACTTCATCAGACAAAAACAGCGGCTAACACACGTATATAAACGGATTCCTTTACACCCTGATAACCCATTTATTGACTCTAATAGATATTTTGTTTTTAATGTTTGTGGTCTTTCGCTGTAAAGCCTACCAACAAGGTTTGTTCATTAAAGTTGACCTTTAGTGTCACAACGCTGGATGTCCAAACTCAAACGCTAAGTGGCTTGATCTGCTCATCAGGTGAGACTTTCATGAGACAGCTTCAAGCCTCCATGTAGGCAGGAGGAGCCGTTTCACACGCTCTCCCCTGGTAACCCTGCAGCGTTCTGCCCAAGCCCCCAGGAAGTGCGTCAGCTTTTAAAGCCAATTTCACACGGTGGCCAATCCTGGTACTGCAGCGTCACATGATGCCATTCAGCCCCAAAAGGACTTTTTTTACTCTCTATAAGCGTACACTGGGAAAGAGACGTCTAAAAATAGAAGATAATTATTTTTTTGGTACATCAACTTCCTGATACAAACACTTAAACATTATGTCCTAAAAATTGTAAAATGCAATTAAAGTTGAATTCAGAGATATTTTGAAGACACAATGAACGCGGATGAGCGCTAAGGGACGGCGACTCCAAGTGTTCATGCTCCACGGGCCCCGTAACTCTGAAGAACCGGGTACTTTTTTATTTCACATGCGGAAGTCAGACTTGTTTTCATGCACCACATAGCAGCTTCAATAGGAATGAACCGGGCTCTGCCTCCACAGCTGTGTCCACTTCGATAAGAATACGTGTGGCAGCCCTGCAGCGTTCTGCCCCCCTTGAAGGATCCAGAAAGCTGGCCAATGAGATGCTGAAATGAGGGTTTTTACTGACGTCAGTATCAGACACGAGGAGTTTTTGAGCTGCTTATCATGCAAAGCTGCTCTCCAGGTTTCACAGGCCGACAACATGAACATGAGGAGAAGATGAGATCTTTAAACTGCAGGGTACCTCGACGAGTCTCTTCAGGTTTTAAAATCATTTTCCGGTAACTAAAACACTTGTCTATGGAGCAAGAACTGAAAATATTTGACTCACAATTCTGAGGATTGTTGTAAGTGTAAAAATATGTTTAAGTGGCGTGGTGGCCTTGTGGTTAGTGTGCACGCCTGATGTACAGACGCTAAAGTCCTTGAAAGTGGACAGCATGGGTGTGAAACCGACCTGTGGCTCCTTTCCTGCGTGTCACTCCCCATGCACTCTCCTCGATTTCTGACTCCATCAACAAGTTTCAGCAGGTTTAACTTTAGGCATAAAAAGCCCCAAAATAAACTGTTATCTTTGCACTTTTTTTAGTAAGACGTTATCTTGAGGGGGCGGGGGGGGGGGGGGGGTAGATAATGTACTTTATATTATTACCTCCTCCCTAGAGACTCTTCTAACCCCGTCGCCCCCCCAGCTGTTTGCCATCCGATACACCTAAAGATCCAACCTTCACCCAAACAAGAGGCCGCTCCTCCACGGCATCTTTATCCCCGCGCTGACGGCGCTGTGGCTCCTCCACGGGGGAATTCCTGGAGGTCATGACTCTGGATTTTTCTGAGGACAGCCGGTTTCTAAAATGACAGTTTTGATGGACAGTTTTCTTCTTGATCCCTCACAGCTGTCCAGTGGGGGGGGGGGGGGGTGGCTGGGCGAGGGTCTCTGGAGAACTGGTCCTCGTTTTCACGTCGATTATCACAGATTGGATGTTAGAAGAGGAGACAGTCAGTCGATGTGTTTGTTTGAGCAGGAAAAGTATTTTACAATCCAGGTTGTGCAAAGGATAGAAACATGCCTGTCTCTGTCTGTCTGTATCTGTATCTCTCTCTCTCCCTCTCCCCCTCTCTCTCTCTCTCTCTCTCTCTCTCTCTCTCTCTCTCTCCCTCTCTCTACATTCACGTCATATTACTGCATGTCGGTCTTGTAGGTTCCTCAGGATTGTTCTGCGTTCAGACAACATTGTTATGATATCAAGCGTGCACACAAATCCACAACAACGACTAAAAACGCTGTAGTACACATGCCAGGTGGAGGTGTGACTTTGTAATGACACAACACGCTCATGCTCTCATCGTCTTCCTTCTTCAGAGCGGTGAGGTGTAAACTAACAGATGATGAGGTGGGGTTGTTACTCAGAATGATCCTAAACTACAAAGACACCTGGAGTGAGACAGAACTCAGGAGTCCGCCATTGTTGTTGTAGTCCACATACTCACTCACGGCTATTGACTGGAAGCGTAATGAGCGTGTGCGAAATGTCTCAGAGGAGCTGCATATTTCCAGTTTACACGACGATGAAGGCGCTGCTGTTTTTAAAAGTTTGCATTTTCAGACACCCTTAAAAAAAACACAGCGGTCATGTAAACAAACAACCGAAATGCAAGAAAAGAGAGAGTGTTTGGAAATGTTTCCAATGTTTTTGCGTAAGTTAGAGAGTTTGTCTGCTGGACTCTTTTCTCTCCTACTCACATGTCTTACTTACAAACTTACTTTTTAATACTTTAAATCAAAACACAAGGTATCAAAAAGTATTGAGACTTTGACGTTGCACACACATTAAAAACATAAAATAAAACAGAATCAACATGAACACAAAGACACCTGGCAGCCCTTTGAGGTTACTCTTCACGATACCTGGAATGATTTCAAGGTGACAAACGTCCATCACCAGTTACTCAGGGCGTCCGTTAATTCAGTCTCCAACGTCCATGAGCAGCTCTGACGTCTATCCAAACCGGTACTTGGGCCAGTATTTCACCTGCGTTCGTCTCGGCGCCGTCCCTGCGTGGACGTTAGCCTTGGTCAGAGGTTTGGGCGGGGCCGGGGCTTTCCTCCTGTCTTTGCCCCGGTCGGTGATGGTGAAGCCTCGCTGACGGTTGTCGTGCGTGCTGACTCTGGGCAGGAAGTGGGTGGAGACGTGCTGCGATTTGACCCGCGGGCTGGAGCCCATCTTAGCTTTCCCTCTCTTGTTGAGGGCCACGAACCAGTCGCGCCCCGTCCGCTGGTTCCTGTGGAGGAGCGAGGCGTACGTGTTGTAGCTGTTCTCCTGGAAACGCTCCCTGAACTTACAGTCATCAGAGAACCACTCCTACAGGACGAGAAAGAGCAAGTGTTAGCACGTGTAATGTTAGCAAGTGTTAGCACATGTAATGTTAGCAAGTGTTAGCACATGTAATGTTAGCCTTAGCCTCAGAACCAAACACACAGAAGCAGCGTTCAGTTTCTATGCTCCTTATATCTGGAACAAACTCCAGAAAACTGCAGGTCTGCTGAAACTCTCAGCTCTTTTAAATCCAGGTTGAAGACTCACCTGTTTACAGCCTTTCATTAAACAGCTTTCATAAGATTTGAACTTTTTAACTCTTTTTATATTTTTACTTCATCTATTTCAATTCATTTCATCTTGAATTATTTTTATTTGAACATATGTTCAGATTTAATCATTCCAGTGATTTTTAAATGTTCTATTTGAATGTTTCTTTTCTTTCCTCTGTCTTGATGCTTTTTGATGTCTCGTGTGAAGCACTTTGAATGACCTTGTTGTTGAAATGTGCGACATAAATAAACTTGCCTTGCCTTTTCTTTATTAGATAATCAGAATAAAAAAACTATTAACAAAGATGACAGGTGACATGTTGAATATTCAAACACAGACGTTCTTCATGCACAGAAAGCTCTCGGCTGAATGATCAGCGATGTGTTTGTTTACATCGTGCAATGCTCTTTCTCCCACGATGCTTCTGTGGTAACCATTTGAAGGTGTTGGAATAGAAAGCATTTTGACTCTGTCTTGTCTAGGTCTCAGACTGGGCGGAGTCTGGAAATCAAGACCGGTCAAAACCACCACTGACAGTGATTAGAAGGAACACCTCTCTTTCTGAAATAACAAATAACTTTAAGTCATATGTAGTTTGATTTTTAACCCCCGGTTACGGCCGCAGCCTCCCTATTTTTACGGTCTAAGTGAGTGACACGCCTCCTACAGGATGAAGATTTTTCAGAGACAATAATGGTCTTGGTCTTGGTCTTGGTCTTGGTCTTGGTCTTGGTCTTGACTCGGTCTCGGAGTACTCTGGTCTCGCGTATGTCTCGTTCTTGTTTAATGTGGTCTTGGCAACAACTCTAGTTATCATTGCTTACATTTAGGATGGACAATGTTGAGGCTAACCTCTATGCCCCCCCCACCGTGCAGCAGAGCCCCAAGAACCCCCCCCCTATGTGAAGCCGTGCTTTGTAACTACTTTAAATTGTCCCTCATTATAAAGTGTCACCTAAAAAAAGACAGTTGAAGCTCTCTGTAATTAATTATCAGAGCGTCTTTAATCAGTAATTTGCTCCA